CGTTTGGTCGGACCTCGCATGTAGTACACCCCGATACCGACTGTAGGACGTTCAACAGGTTCAGGTGTGGAAACACCGCGTGGGCCGGAGAAAAATACTGCGACCGCTGTTGTAAGCCGTTAGCCCAAAACGACCGGGATGCACGGCGAAACGGATACGCACTTGGCCGCTGTGACGGAGATGATGGAGTAAAAGTTTTTGGGGAGGTGTGTGTATATTATTGTTTTGTTGCGGTGGCGCGCGTGTTAAGACAAATGGTCGAAAGGGGAAAGAAAAAAAAAACTGTCCATCTTTCACGGTTTTTGCCCTTTTCCCGGTTTTCTTTTTTTTTTCTACCCTCCCCTACACCGCTCACCTCTCGCCTCTTACGCCGCCCACAGCCGTGCATGGCGCACAAGGTATCCGGTGCCCGTCCGGTTGATGATGTCAATTTTTCATTCGTCCCGACTAGCGCAAACTTTTGTGTTTTTCTCAGCACTTTCTCGGCCTATGCCTATGTATGTACATATAGTGCGCCGACCCTCCGCCTCGCGATCGAGCCACACCAAAACGGCCTATCATTATTGTTTTACGAGTACACCGAAGGGATAAGTACAACATATATATATATATATACATACATACATACGGATGTTGGAAAAATAACGCCACCGACCGAACGATTTTGCGAAAAACGCGAGTTTCGACTCTCATCATTTGTCGTGTCCGCAAGCGCCAATAGAATAGGATATATATTACCGGGTCGGACGTCAGCTAAAACTAAACGTAGGTACCGTGTTAATTATACATTTATAAACGCTTCGACTACCGCTGTCGCCTCGTGGGCGGCGGCCAAATTTGTGTTATGACACGGCACACCCAAGACGAACGTTAAAAAAGTTTACGGAATTTTGTAAACAAAAAAAAATAACAAAAAGAAATTACACAAAAGTTGTATGGAAAGTAAAAACTCGAATGCGCACGATTGCCAAAATTAACTATAAGTGTCTCTTGACCCAAACCATAGGTGGTTGTGTATTATCAATTAATTTATAGTTTCAATATTTAAAAAAAAAAATGATAACTTAATATAGATACATTATTTTATACAAAATGTTACTAGTCATAATAATAATTATTAATTACAAAATCCATATAACATTGATTGGATATCGATATGTATGTTGAAATGGATAAATGGTCCCTAATATCTTTTTAGGCATACACTCTGACCGCCAAACTTTTATCTTCAAGTATTTGGGTTTGGGATTCACAAAATTATGAAAATCTGGAGTTTGCCTAACTATATTACGTATTATAATATAAAATATTATAATACGTAATATATATATATATATATATATATAGAGAGAGAGAGAATATGTCCATATAGGTAGGTATATTTGGGGCCGTTGTCGTGTAAAGTTTCCGAAAGTTTTCCAATAGAAATAACCATATTTACAACGAGGGAAACGCGAAGGTGTTTAAAAAGCGTAAACAATATTATATTATATTTTTAATTCGATAAAAAAAATAATATGAATAAACGAGGGCGGTTGCACAACAATAGCGTTTTAATCTAATGTCGATCCACAATGTTGGGAATACTTATACTTTTCGTGGTTTTACATTAATCACATTATTATTTTTATAGAATAATATATCATTATTCGGTTGTGTATAATGAATTTTAACCGTCGTCGACGGAGGGGTTGAGAAACGATGGATGTTCATAAGGGCGCAGTGGCTGCTAAATAATATAATAATATACATACCGCAGTTAACATCGGCTGAGGGCGTTTAGGGTTTCAACTGCACAAGAGTCAAGGGCCAATTATCGATTTCTTTGGCGATGAAAAAACGAATTTGAAACGCGTTAACAGATTAAATAATCTTAATTATAACGAGATTTGACCGAACAAGAAGTCTTAAGAATTTTCTCGGTTGACCTCCAAAAACATTATGATCACACTTTAGAACAATATAAGCTCCTACAATTTCAAAACTGTTTAATGTCAAAATTTTGAAAAACCCATTCAACACGTTTTTCACAAAAACCGTCCAACATTATTTCCTTAACTCGGCTTTTGCTCGGGTACAAACTAACTCGAAGACGTGGACTGCGGTTAGCACGCAGTGTCGTCTCTCGACCGCAGTTTGCTTCTGTCAAGTATGTATACTTATCGATTGATACACTTCCCAGATAACTGTCCGCGCGGTTAGCCGCCGGCCCGAGGACATTGACGGATTTGCAACGGAGTGACACAGCCGAAAAGCTGAGCAGGACGAACTTCCGACCCTCGTCGCCATCTCCCCCCCCCCCCCCCCCCTCTCTCTCTCTCTCTCTAGATTGAGATGGAAAACGCGACAGTCATCGGATGTAACCTTCGGACACGATGGAAGTGTATATAAGTTGCACCCACAGAGGGATGATGCTCCGTCTGACCGGATAGGTCGGGGGATAAAAAAAAAAAAAAGAAAGAAAACGATGGTTTCGATAACACAACAACAACACCACAAGGCACGCGAGTATATATAGGTGCGATCATCAATAATTATATATATATATATATAATAGCCTAAACCATCGCCTTCTCTAAGTCTCCCGGAGATTATTGTGCCACTGCCGACTTCTTGGCTGTGTCTTTTTTTTTTTCAACGTCCATTTCGTTTAGTAATGCTTGAGGGTTTTCGCACTCACCGCAGTCCTTCCCCTCTCATAAGCCCGGCGTGTGATCCGTCAACATCATTCCGACTCCGCCGTCTATATAAACGTTACCAACAAATTATAAAGTGTATTAATAATAATAAATCCGACTTCGTAACTAGAAATTTCCATTTAGAGTTTTTCCTTACATAATAATAGTAATAATACAGTACACGTTATAAGTTATCCATTTGACACCAGAAGAAAAAGACCAACATTACAAATTGTAATTAATTCCAGGTATACAGCCTCTTATAATAGACATTACACAAAACGACCGGTTTGCACAATTATATTTTATTTTTTAATCTAGTCTCTGACGTTTACCAATTATATTATATACCTGATTAAGCCATACGTTTGCCCTATAGGCACAATCAGGCTCTGTCCGTGAAAAATACTACATATTCGAAAGTTTTAAGCTTAAAAATAACAATTCATTCTTAACAATATAGTTTCACTTAAAATTAAAAATAGCATTTTTAATAGCTCTACATTGTAATCTAACCAATACAATACATATTACATATGATGTTCTTAAACATTTGCTATTAGCATTATTCACCGATTATAAATACATAGCATTACAACGAAAATACGTTAAAGTTACAGATACTTAAAAATTGTATTAGTAAATATTTGTGTTGTCTAAATTTGATTGCAGTACCTACATTGTTATGTTTTTTAAACATATGACAGATTATTATTTTTTTTTTTTTGTATTTCTTCTTTAGTCGGTTTAAGCGTTGTGCAAAAATATTGTGCATATTATACAGTGGGTAATTCAGCCCTGTACAACGTTTTGCTGGCGCACAAGCTATAACGTTCGTCAATGATATTACATTCAGTGGCTCTAACAAGATAAGTATATATCTGCATTGCCACAAATTTCATTTCTGTTCCAGTTACCCGTACACAGTAGATTCTAGTCTGATTAATAATTATAATAGGTATAAAATACGACCTTCACGCGTGTAAATGTATAATTAGACATAAAATACATTTACGCGTTACCGTTGAAAAAACGAATCTGCAACATTATGATTATATATTATACTTTGTCTCACACAAATTGGTTGGAGTAGTAAATTGGCTTAACACCCGTTTGTTTTTCATTATAAACCTACGTATACACGTGTACAGTGTACTACATGATTTGCCTGCAGTAAACCGAATTCCCTAAATGCTAAACAATATACAGATTGGGGATTTATTTCAATAAACAAATTGTATCTATTAATTGTTTTATTTACTGAATATTACCAACTTAACGTATAGGTCAGTCATAATTATATTTATAAGCTAAGAAATAGTTTTAATATAAATTATAAACAAATTTACGCCATAATACTTGTGCAAAAGAAAATATTATTTTAAGTAAAAAATTGAATATTGGTCAATTTAATAACACAATATATTTAAAAAAAATCAAACTTGCCGGTTTTATCCCGTGTTTTTTTCCCGGAGATTGTTGCTGACAATAGAGTTGAAACTTCAAACCGCGATAATATTCATAATAATATAGTCTGCCACGTCGGTCGAGCCTTCACAGCTCTTTATATTATACTTGTTCGCGGAACGAGCTTAGGTATACATATTATACAAATTACGCATATTGGGACGTATATATTTATATATAGAAACGGCGGTGCTGCGTTGCCTGCAGTGCGTGTACAATATTATTATATTATATATTATTTTACAGTGTAAAAGGTTTTTAAAAGGAAAAGAAAAGGGCTTCCTGTGCTCGGTAGTTGCCGCACGGTATGTATATAGAGTGAGTGCACATGAACAAGCCGCCTCGTGTTAAGTTGTATTCATATTATTATTATTATTATATAGCCGATCTGTGTGTGTGTGTGTGTGCTCTGCCGAGGCGGTTGCTGCCGTTTTGGGAGCCCTCGCCACCGCAAACAGCCATCATTAATCAACGAATTTGCTGAGTCAACTCGTCTCCTCTCTGAGGCGGCGGCAGCTCTCTGTATAAACCGCAGCACCGCTTCGACGTCGCCGCCGTATTATATCCTTTGACCATTCTCTCAGTGTGCCTCGACCTTATAATACATATATATATATATATATGTATATATTTCGTATATTTCTATATTTTTTACATATTATATGCCTTAAAAAACCTTACGGACCGCGTACGAATATATATTATAAGTATTTACATTCGACGTGACTTTCTATTAATAGTAATGATGATAATAATATAATAAGTGCACTGTATTACGTTGCGCTAAACAAAACGGGACGGACTAATAATAATATATGATGATATATGCAATTGTTTATTCAGACGAAGGAAAAGGTGTAATACGAACATCGTATTAGCACACGTTCGCCGTACAGGAAGTTTTGAACAGTGTAGGTTTAAGTTAGGTAAGTTAAGCCCAGTGTAGTGCAAACATGCATACATATAATTTGTTGAGTTGGATTTGTTCAAATTGGCTCTATATAGTTTTAATAGATACGGCTTACAGCTTACTACATAGTTATCATACACGATGATTAACGGGTCATTCGTCAAAACGCAGAATTCCTAATTGAATTATTTTTTTATGTTTTTTTTATCATTAAGTTAATTTTTTTTATTGCGTAAGTTGTAATAAAAACGATGTAAAGTCAATGCGTGTAATAAATGACGACGGCTAAAACCGAGATAACTATTTGTCATAATGTTACACCACGTACAGGATTACGAAATTGTCGATTTGTTTATTAATTGGTATAGTTCGCTCTATAGTTCTAATAAAACCAACTTAATTGATTAGTTATATTAGTTATCCAACAATTTTTACCTGTTTTGGAAAATATAAATAAGACTAAGTGTTGTAGGCTGTAAGGTTATTGTACTGAATAAATCATTATAAAAATAAGTAAATCATTTTAAAGTACATTTTAAAGGAGGAGTCACAACTTGAATATTATTTTGCTGCCTTTAAGAAAGTACTTCTCGGGACTATACTATGTCCCTTTTTATTTAAATACATCACTGCGTTGGTTTACAATGTATTTTCATTAATAACGTCGTATGCCTACCGTGTCTTTACAATATGCTGGTATATTTGTCACAATCGCTTTAAGATGGTTTTTTTTCACGACCGAATCGTCACATTGTACCTTTATATTAATATTGTTGTTGATAGACGTGGGAAGACGTGCGCGTTTGTATATTATGGAATATGAATGACAAGCAGCTCGATAGTGAATTGGCGTTTTTCCGTGTACATACAAAGATGGCGTGGGCGGTGATTTCATTGAGATTGTATACATAACAATCTATGGTCATTTAATATAATATAGAAGTACAATATTGTATTATCAGGTGTAAAACAGCCGCGGAATAACCGATATCTAACGGACAAATATAGGTACATTTATATTATTTATTTTGTATATTTACAAATGTGTTTAATCCCAAACGGTTATCTCGACTTACTTTCCTGTTGACCGATTATCAGCAAAATAACTTGACCGGAATATCCTCGGCTTGCTAGCTGTGACACGCACACAGCAGCGTTTCCGCTTCAGCAGCAAAGGACTTGGTGTCCGAGGCGTGAACTTACTATTTGCACCGCCCATTATATACATACATTTAGAACTATAAAAAAGAATAGTATGTGTTGTATTTATATATGGCCAGTGCCGACGATGATTCTTCGGTATGCTCTTTCATGTCCGCCGGTATTCGGTTATTTTTTTTTTTTGAAACCTCTCTCTCTCTCTCACTTGTTCTCGTTCTGTATAGGTACATGCGTCCGAGGTGGGCCTTGATGTTTACCGATGGCCACCGTAAACGGTTTTTTTTTTAATACCGCACGTGAAAGGCGAAGGCAATGACATGGCATCTAGGGAAGAGAGAGAGAGAAAGAAAAAAAACGCACACACACACACACACCTACGCGTTATTATATTACAATCGGTAAGGAGAGATCGCGTTCACACATTGGGCTACCGGTGTTCCATATTATGTAGAAAAAACAAACATTTTTTTTATTAAAGGAACGCTCGTGATAAAAAGACAGAAAAAAAAGTTTCGCTTTGTTACCATGAACGTCAGCGTGTATAGGTATATAATATATCCGGCATTGGTATGTACACATTATACATTAATGAATCGCTATTATTATTCGAAGGAGGAAAGAGTGGCTGCCGCCGCCGCCACCGCCACCGAGACTGCCGTCTTATGCTTGTATATAAAGTATATAAGTATACAGCGTATATACACGTGTATCGTATTTTCATTAATAAAACACTCGAAGACCGTGTATTATGGCCTTTTCCAAAAACTAATCGTACACGTCGTACCGTTCACCCCGTTCACAGACGGCTCAAAGATTAATTTGTTTTCTTAATCGATCGCATCTGTAACGTTTGCCTTATGTGCTGCCGCCGCATTTAACAAGAAACCCGCTGTCGTCTTTCTTCCTCGACCGGATTAGTTATATTATTATTATTATTAGGTACGCATTATTATGTATTTATTAAAATTAAAATAACAACCGTTAACCCGCATAATAGTAATATGCGAACAGAAATTTAATTCAAACTAATGGTCAAAGATTGCTTGGTCGACATCAGAGAGATGGGAAATATCCGGATTTCAGAAATCCGGTTATTCGGAGTTGACCTATCTGAAAGTGCGCTACGCTTTTAAGTAAATTCAACGGGGGAATAAAGTAATAATACTGTTCATATATTAAAAATAATAATAGTATTTATAAGTTACCGGAAACACGACTGATTGAATTTTCTGCGAAAAACATGTTTTTCGGTGCCGTCAGTTTAATGTATTCAGATTTATTCGACAATAAAAAAAAAAAGAAGCGAAAACTTAAGCTTAAAAACTATCTGAATAAAAAGCTATCTGTTGAATTTTCCAAACCGCCCCCGTTTCGTATGCAGATTAAGATTAGAAAAAGATTCTTTTTCCGCTCGAGTTGCGATACCAGGCGGCTGCCTTTTTTTTTTATACTTACTTTTATTCTTGTTTTTTGTTTCATCTCGCTTGCGCACTAATTTCTTGATAATTCCAATTCTGCGGTTTGCCGCCGGAGCTTCGCGGAGAGACTTGCTGGTGGTAATGGCTGCAGCGGGGAGAGGGTAAGTGTATATAAGCGTCGCATATAAACCGGGAAAAAAAATAAATAAAAAAAATCGAAATGCGCCGAAACCCTAGAGGAAATGAAAAACAATAAAGTAAACGTTACACGGACAGAGGAAAAAAAAGTTTATATCTTTGCATAAAATACTGCGCGTAAAAGACTTGCAAAAATAAAAAAAAATAACAGATTAACGATATCGCGTGTTTTATTGTTGTTGTTATCTATCTCGGCGCAGTAATTAGTATAATACAGTCCTTACGAGTACACACTCAAATTGGGATGTACGTATTTTTTTTCTACACAAAGATACCAACTGTTAACTGTATCCACATAATAGTCATTTTTATAAATAGTATTTTTTTTTTTTTTTGCAAACCAGTATTTACCCATTTGTCATTGTATATATTCAAAACCTCCGGTCCTAGTTGACTTGGCCGAACCGGTGATCCTTCAAGTCAATAGGTATAACATATTGCTTATACTTGTTGGCCATCGGCCCTAACCGTTATAGACAATGACGGTAAACTCGACACGAGTTTACCAGAACAACGTCAATGATTGGCCATACACACGCCGGTCGTGCGCGGGATCGACTCGAGCGCTTTGCCCGAGTCGGTAACAGCTGAGAGCCAAGACGAATTGCACCCGTTTGTGCCGTTAAAAAGAAATAACCAATTGTTATGGCGAAAATAGAAATGAGCTTTTGAAAAATTAGTCGCAATAATGGCGTGAGAAAAACGATTGTAAAGCCGCCTCCGTGACGCTTAAGTATCAAGCGCGGCCGTCAAATAAGGAACGGGTATAATTATTCTCATTAGATAAAAAATAATCACGTGTAATTATGAATGGCGATGAATGACGATAATACTTCATCGATCGACAGACGTCCTTTAACGAAAACCTCAAAATCCTAGTAGGGATCCATTTAACGTAAGACATTTATTTTTTTTAGGACAGTAGGAAGGAACCTAACCGTACTCCAATATCTGTCTTAGTTTTGAACTTAAAAAGTAAATAATTATTAAAAACTGGCATTATATCTGACTTAAAAAAAATGTTGACCCATCTGGAAATGCATTTATTATGCAGCAATAATAATTAATTCAACATGTTTGGATATAATTTACTTAAAAGCTTTACATTTTTTTGAAAATAAACTTCGAGTGTTATTACTATGAAGAACACAATATTATTGAAGTGCTAAATCTAATTAAAAACAAATACAATACCTCATGAGATGTTCTGGTTTTGGTTATTAGAGCTTATAGAGGCACTGAGTACAAATTGAACCGCCTCTGCTGACTTCACACTCGGTTTGGGTTTCGACGAAATGTTTTTTACTATGTTTTTTTTTGTTTAAGTCGATTCAGACCTAAGTCGATTGTCTATAGAGAGATGTGTTGAATGTCAAATGAGTATAGACGGTTCCATCCGAACGGCGGTCGGGTTCAAAAATGTCATCTAGGCAATAAAAAGAGGTACGGCTCATCAAGTTTTTAAGACCCCGCGGTGGCGAGCGATTATTGCCGGTGCGACGGACGACCGAGGGCGACACTTAAGGTTAAGATTGGTCTCCGAGGAGAAATATATTAAGAACACACGTATATACACAGACAGGGCATTTTTTTTTCTCTTGTATATATATATATATATATATATGTATTTTTTTTTAACGTTGTATACACGGTGCCGTTTTCTTTGGTTGTAAGTTTTTCGTCTTCTCTACTCCACCTTATACAGTACACTTTGTATTGAGTTGAGCGTTCCCCTTTACGCTGGTAAATAAGAACTGCGAGACCGTTTGATTTACGACCCATGGCGCGCGACAACGCGAGTTTGCTAATTTTTTTTTCCACCGCGGGTCGGGGCTACTTCTTTTCGGTGGCTATTTTTTTTTTTTGTGTTGTTTCGTTTTTTTATGTATGCAATCATATTACGACACATTACATCGTATGTGTGATAAAAAATCCGGCGCGCGAATTGGCGCATTGGTTCGTATACATAATTTATGGATGTGCGGTCGCGGCTACTGCAACAGTTGTTTACCGCAAGATCCCTTTTAGGTTGGTTTTCTGTTTTTTTTGACCTTGAGAACGTTTTTTTGGGGGCTTTTAAACCGATGCTATTTGTATTCGGCGGTTACACTCATAACGATACCCGCCATTTTTTTGTTTTTTTGAACAGAAAAATGTTTTTGAGCTCTCCGATTGCGTTATAAT